CCTTGCATCAGCACTGACACCCACATAAACGTGCAAGGGCCGGTTCAGGGAGGTGGTTTGTCTGGAAGCTAACCTCACAAAAATCAAAAAAAAAAAAAAGAAAAAGAAAAATCAAACAAAAAAACTTTTCAGCCAGATCTGCTCCACAGAGCAATTCAGAGAATGATCACACGAGAGCTAGTGCCAGCACAACGGAGGAGGTCGAAACACAAAGCCAGAGGCAATAGAGAAAGAGAGGACAAGGCAGCCAAAGCTTAGATCAGCTCCAGCTGTGATAGACCCAGACCCGGAGCCAGCCTGACAGCTTATACACTTCCTCTAAGACTTCTGCACTTTCTTTGAAAACACCATGATAGAATGAGTAAGTATATGGAGCTGAAATCACCGAGATGCCTACAGAAAACAAGAAATAAAATCAGCAAGCTTACACACTGCAACCATGGTCTTAAAGCTACATTAGCATAGTTTCTGCGGAGTTTAACAGGCAAGGACAAATCATTCCTGACTGAAGTACCAGAGCTATATACACCAGACTCTTGAGAAAATTTCCACTTTCTAAGGCTTCACTCTGTAGTTTTCAGCTAACAGGAAGACATTAGCACCGGCTTCAGAAAGCATTACTTCTCGTTTGCAGGATACTATATCACTATAAAACACGTTATTCTGCACATTATTTTTTAGACAAATAAAACAACGTGAATTTTGCCATGCAGTTGTCAGTTAAATGAGGATAAGGCAGAGAGATATTCAGATGGATTGGAAAAGATTTAGATTGAGAGAACCAGGGTCCAACATTTGGATAATCAATATAGCTGGGGACTGGACTACTTTTGTCTCTGAAAGTACCTTAACCTTGCCATCCCACATCCATCAAAATCTGAATCTTCCCTTATTTGAGGATAAATATGTTTTTAAAACAAACAAATGTACCCTAACTTAAGCTTGAGAGGACAACTATGATGAGATGTTGCAAAAATGATTTTAAAAGGGAGGAAAATCTTTACTCAGGAGGAAATAAGAGCCATCAACAACAGTAAAATCTTCTAATATTACATCCACTTTATAAATAAAAAAGTCTCATATGGTGACTGCTGTAGCAATATTAAGAAAACTACCTAGAGCTTTATAAAATAGTTATTTTCTTAAAGCTTTGATGATTGTAGATGGACAAAAGCTATAAGGAAGCTATAAAGGACAGGCATGCTGATTCCTGAAAGAAAATGAAATAAGCTATCTGCCTATTATTAACTTTGATTATTTCAGTAAGCCAGCTACATGGAGACTGATTCAGATCACTGCAATATTTGATTATGTTATGCATGTGAAGTACAGAAATAAATAACATGATACTAGTCAATACGTGTAAGACTTTCCATCTGTAGGCTGTAGTAGTTTGAAGAAAGCTAAAAACTATCACTGATTTATAGGAAAAAATATAAGAAAAGATTAGAAAGTTTGATACTAACTATCTGACTTGGCAAGACGACCCAGGATAGAGGACTGTAACAGACAACAAAATGGCATTTGGCATCGTGAAATCTCTACTTCTAAGCATAAATGTAGACTAGCAGAAAGGTCTTTGAATCCAGCTAGGATACTGCAGTATTTACATATAGGTTTGTGCTCCCAGTGTTGTAGTATCTTCCCATACTGAACTACTAAGACTCTAGAACCTCTGCCAATGACCTAGGAATAGTAGTAGCACTGGATAAACTATATGAGGACATAATGCCATAAAAAGGTTTCAGAAAGTTAAGTAGAAGGATCAAGGTATGTTAAAGATGATTAACAAAAATATTTTAAACATATGGTAGGATAAAAATATCTGCTTCAGAGGATAGCAACGGAAAGCATCAAGGAAAGAGGGTGAAGGACACTTCAAGGTGAAAAAGCCGGGAAATACTTATTGGAGAGGAGAGGAGATCAAAAGTAACCCATATGCAATCAGCCTATTTTAAGACTTGAACTCTTGGATTACAGTTTTCCAGAAATAAAAGTTGCTCAGAAACATTTTCACGTGTGACTTTCCCCAGGCCCTGTGTACAAACATTGAATAGAAGAAAAGAAAGGAATTAGACTTTTGAAGGTTTAAGTACTGGCCTGCCCTGGCTGAGATTATAAAGCCAAGTTTAGTTGAGTATACTCAGTTTGGAGGTATATTGATTATCTACAGGTTAGCAACATTGCTATGGTGTATTTTCTGTGTTTTTGGGCAAACAGAAAGTATCCTGGGAAGAGAAGGATATACGACAAGAGGAAGAACAGGTTGGCATCTTTGTTCTGGGAAAAAGAAACGCTAGCTTTGATGATACAACTGTAAAGGCACCTGTTCCTCTCAGCATTTCTGGTCTGCTTTGATTATGAAAGACTTGGTAGCTGTTCTCAAAACTGAGCTCTCATTAGTCAAACAGATTAAGTCAGTTGCACTCATACTGCCTGTAGGAACACAGCTCAAGGATTCAACCACACTCAGTGGCTAGACTTAAACAAATTCAGCATCTGAACATTTTTCCCTATGGAATTTGTTACAGAGACTGGATAGTCTCCTGCCTACAGTATTTTAATCTAGAAGCTAAGACTCCTGTCTGTGTCACTCAGTCCTCACAAACATCTGATGACAAGTTCCTACCAAAATGGGCAGAGATTTTAACTGATAGTCTTTTTAATCGGTATGTTTTGGTATACAACTGTGTACCTTTGAGAAAAGCCTAAAAGTACTATCTTCATAGCAACTATTTCAGGCAATGTTTTGCAATTACCCCATACTGTGTACCACAGGTTTACTCAATCCAGCATGCTCCCTCACATTCCTACTGTTACTAAATTAAGATATGTATACAGAAAACATTCTAGGAACACAGTTATAAAGTTATCACCCTAATTTATTAGATCACATACAGTATTCCAAAACAACAATATGTACCTTACTTACACTTTAAAAGATTGCTATTAGTGGGGGGAGATCACTAGTCTCCTTTTGTGACTAGTTTGTGGACAAACAAATGTGGACATCAAATGTCCTCCTTATTGGATGGAGCTCACTCGGAGAATCCACAGGTAACTCTATCTTTTAAAATCTTCTGGATTGGGGCTCACCTCCTGCAATATCCTAAGAAATAGGTCTTTTCTTGATTAGAATTTTTGGACATCTCCTCCCCCCATCCAAAAGAAACTTCCTAAGAAAAATCACAGTGTAATTAAGGTTGCAAATGCATATCAGTGCAGTGAGTAGAAACTGCCTTA